AATTGAATATCATGGGGCAAGAACTTTTTTCTATTAGAGCACATTTTTTCCAGATCAACTACCAGATGTGCATAGCATAGTACCATATTTTCTTGTGGGAAAAAGTTGTAGCTTTCTACCTACTTGAGAGCCTGTTTGGTGTAGTGGTTAAGGGACCAGGCTAGAAACCGGGAGATCATGAATTCTAGTTCCACCTTAGGCATGAAGCCAGCTGGTTGACCTTGGGCAGGTCACTCTCTTTCCGCCCTAGGAAGGAGGCTATATCAAACCACTTGTGAAAAACCTTGGCAAGAATCAAAAATTGACATGAAGGTGCAAAATAAACAAATACATAAATTCAGTCTACTTACCCAAATCTCAATATGTGTCAGCATTCATTTTCCATGATAAGTCATCCAAGGTGGCCTGTTGACAATTTACCTAACTAAATATCTAACAGATTGCTCCATGAAGGGGGTTTCATGAACCATAATTGTGTTCTTATATATGGTGTTTTTCCCTGTGGTTTGTTGAAGGATGCATGTTTTAGGATATATCAGGATCATCCTTTAAATGCATAGGGCCTTTTCAATGAGAACAAATGAAGAAATGGCCTGAATTCAAAAATGGAGAATTACTGCTTAGTACATTGGTGTCCCACTTCCTTGTTCCTTTTCTGCTTAATGCCCTACCCTTGGCACTGAAACTTTTATTTGCAAATCATACCACAGTTCTCAAGAACAAATCAGCCTACAGGTTCTAATGTTTATAGACCCATGTTTAGGTTTGATCCTATCTTTAGCATCACTAGAGGGTTTCTGACTATGGCAGGCAGTGTTTTTAATTCACTGCCATCAGATGGAAAATACTTCTAGATTGTATCTTGTAACTTTTTGCACTGGTTGGGATTCTATCATTAATGATCTCATCTATGAACATTTTGGCAGCCACCTTTTGACTTGAAGAGATTGGCAGACAAAATTGACATCCAAGGATTGGTAAGCATAACAGGTGCCCATTGTACTTACCTTCATATTTCTGTTCTCATCTATCATTGCCAGGCCAAATTGTTCATAATAGGAAATCATTTTTCTTAGTTTGGTGCATCCCTTGGGCTTTCTGCAGTGCTTGAACTTTCATGAAATGCAGGGTACCCATTGCTGCTCACCTAAGCTTTCAGTGAGTTTTTATTTCCCCCTGTATTAATGTTTAGACATCATCATCATTCCGTAGACATCTATGAAAACTCATTAACCTCCGAATGGTAAGCAGTTACAGTCTTACCACATTCCTCCTTTTCCAAATTTTAGGCCTGTGCGTCAACCAGCAGAACATCCCAACTTGAAATACTCAGTTTATTTGAACACTTCTGAGCTCTGTTTTCAGAAGAGTCTTCCTATTGCACAATGAATGATTTTGCTCTGATATCTACAGATATTTGAAGTGCCTGTAGCCATTGTAGGTGACAAAGACAACCAGGGACAATGCCTGTTTCCATACCTGGACCCTTCATTCCTAATATGCATCTTCAGATTTGGTGTACAATTTGGGGTTTTTCCTAGACTGCTTGAGCAGATAGCAGCCATGGTTAGGAGGGCCTTTATAAGAGCCATCTTATGTGCCACTTGTCACATAAGACAATTCATTGACCAAGAAGCCCTATTTACTGTCACTTAAGCTTTGGTCACCTCCTGTTGGTTATTTGCAGTATATTTTACATGGGGCTGTCCTTGAAGACTGCTTGAAAGCTACAGCTGGTCCAGAATGCAGTGGCACAGGTAAATGTGGGCTTACCTCTCTACACCCATGTAACACCTCTACTTTGTGAGCTGCAAGGGGGCTTCTGTGTGCAATTCAAGGTGCCCATTATTATCTTTAAAGCCCTAATTGGTAGAGGGCAGGCTTATTTGCAGGACCACTTATCTCCAGTTATTTCTGTTTGTCCCACAACGCCTGAAGAGGTTGGAAAGGTCTTCTCTATCAAACAAGGTTGCCTAATGGGAGCCAGGAAGCATGGCTTCTCTTGTGGCAGCTGCCTACAGAGCAGCATACTCCCTGAGATTCAGATGGCCCCTACCCTGCCAGCCTTTCACAAGGTGCTAAAAAGCTGATTCTTCCCTCAGACGCTGAGCCGGACTGTTGGGTGAGCCTGTCTTGATGTTGTGGTTCTGTCTTTTGAATCACCCTGAGCATAATGTGTTGTTGTTTTTAATTTGTTCATTATTTCTGGTTGTTTTTAATTGATTATTAGTCCTTCTGAGTTACATTTCAAGTGGGCAGCCATATAAATCAAATAACTATCACTCTGTTTCTGGCATGGCAGGCTCAGTTTCTGTGTCAAACTCTCCAGTGGTGGCATAAGATGGCACATCCTTTTGTTGTATTTGCATTTGCCCATGGAAACCATTTAGGACTCAAATGATAGTACATCTTTTCTAAGATGTGTAGCAAATGGCCACCAGTTTTGGATCTGCTGAATTTGGTATAGAACAAAAAAGATTTGACATGTCTGTCTCTTCAAACCTTTAGCTGTTTTCAAATCTAAGGAATCTTAAATCATGGTTTTAGGGGCTCGTGGACAATGCTGTATATTGGCCAGTTAGTTCAACATGAAAAAGAGAATGTACTCATTTATCCTCCTTCGTATCATTGTCAACTTGTGACAATGGTGTATCCTGTGATATATTAATCACATAGTCCTTAACTTCACCAGTGCTCACAGCTACATCCCCAGTCATTTGAGCCAAACCTTGTGGTTGATAGCTGATTGCAGGTCAGTCTATTTACCATGAGTGTAACTTGCAACCAATATGGTAGCTAAACAGGGAGGGAACGAGGCTTCCAGGAAAATACCTTCCTAACTTGTTTGACCAATCTCTCTCTATTTGTCTCCCTTACTTGGCTAACAACAGTTGTCTCCAAGCTATGTTAGGATCCCCAGAATACATTTCTGTCACCACAGAAGACAAACTTTACAAGGACCAATACTGGATTAGTAATAGATGCTTAAAGTAGCCAAGGCAGGGCGAGGAGCCAAATTGTGAGCCTTTTGGGGCTTCACTTTTTCTTGAGGATGGGTTCCAGGCACTAGTACCAATTGCATTTCACTGTCTAGATTCACTTTGATTACACAGTATATCCCATTTTTCAGATAATGTTTACTGCTGTAATAATGTGCATCAACCAGAAGATATTCTTTGCCTCACCTACTTACACATGCCTTTTTAAAAAAGGTGAATAGTATATAACCTTCTTGAGTACCAGTATCCATTTTGTAGGCAATTTGATCCTGTCTACTTTGATGGTGTGGGATGGGGAAGAGAACCCTCTCTGAGGCTATGGCTGTATCTTTGCTCATCTATGAAAGTTGCTGCTTTGGTAGCTTGGCTTTCAGTGCTAATAATTTGCTAGCTTGCATGTCATTTTCCCCTTCCATTGTTTCACAAAATTTAAAATACAGCACACCATTAACACATATCTATGTAAAAATACAGAGATATCATATGTATGTATTGTTACATATGTATGTATTAATGGTGTGCTGTATTTTAAATTTTGTGACTTGGTCTTGGACCATAAATAAATAATAATTTGTTTCGCAGGGACTACCTATTTCCCCCCCCCCCCAAGATGTCTTTTATGCCTAACGTATGTCTTGAGTCTGAGTTTTATGTGACTCAGGATGCCTTACTTTGTATATTTTTCCCATCCCCCTTCATGCCTTGGGAAGCATCTCTTCATTGCCTTGTTGTTCAGCAAGTCTTAGCCTGCTGAATTCAACACATGTCACTTTTCTTAAAAATCTGTAGATTTGGGCTATCATACTGCCTAAAGAAGGATGTCCCCTCTCTGCCCAAGGAAGAGCACTGAGTTGTGAGCACCATGTTCTTCCTTGCCTATGAAGGTGACATATCCTGTTTCTCAAGGGATTCACTTGGAAGATTAGATTGGATCACTTAAACAACTTTTTTTGTCACCAACTCTGTGTAAATAAGTACACTGCTTTAAAAAACAAGAATAACCCCCTTAAACATTCTGTGCCTTCCACAGGCATTCAACTTTTTTTTTTTGTTGTTGTTAGTATTGCATTTCATGGTTGCCCAGATTAGTGGCAAGAATTAGGATATCATAGCACAAAACTTTAGTTTTGTCTTAAGTGTTATTTTATGCACATCACTAACTTCATCAGTCGCGTATAGTATAAGGATATATGTCGGTAGCATGTTCCAAATGGCATCCCATATAATCTTGGCAAACCTCATGATCTGAATTCAGTACCTGTAATTCTGCCTAGAAATCTGGAGAAATTGGAGTATTGATAAATACTTATAAGAACTTACCCTCTTCTCATTACTTTCTCACTGCTGTCTTGTGAATTGAATTGCCTTCATTTTCCAAGGACATATTTCCAAATCTGATGCTGAATTTCAATAGTTCTGTTTTCACCAAAGCAAGTTGATTTGAACAGAAGTCCATTCCACTGTAAAAAGAGGACTAACACACATGTAGGAAGATTTAAGGGAAACAAACCTCAGGAGACTTAACTAGAAACAGAAAATTCTTCTCATGGCTGTGTGAGTGACAGCTTCTTATTTTTGAGGTCATATAAGAAACACCAATTTTTCTATTACGTCCTATAGCAGTTCTTGAAAATGTTGAAATAAGGTTTGAGGGCAATTTGCATGTGGATAAGTGGTTCTTTTAAAGTTATGGAAGCTCTGCAGTCGATTGTTGGTTTTGATGAGGTGCAGAAACCTAGTAGGGTAGGAAAAGAGTACTAAGAAAAGTTACCAAGGAAACTTGGATAGGAGCAGAAGGTAAAAACAATTAAATATGGGAGGGAAGGAGGCTACATATGAACACTAGCTCAAACTTCAAATGATAGGGAACGCTGCCGTTGGAATATGCTGCATCCTGTTTTAGTGCAGTGAATGCAGCAAAAAACTGAACTCTGTCCTGGGCTGGTTCTTCTCATTCTTGCTCATCACGTGTCCCTATTCTGTTCTCTTCTGTCTCTACAGAAAGTGATGCTTCCTACAGGTGCTGCATTCCGATGGTTTCAGTAGGAACAAGAATCCCAAAGCTCTATCCTCCAGTGCAATGTCACTGCTTGCTTGTGTTGTCTCAGGCAAGGAATTTTTTGACGGAAATAAATGGATGCGCCTATGTCTCCTTTAGAACCAAAAATATTTTCTTGCAGATTTCATTCCTGTTTTTTTTTTAAATATAATTTTTGGCATTTGTTTAACATCTTTTAAGTACTAGTAAAACAAGCATTAATGTTTTCAAAATAATTTTTTTAAAGAATCCATAAAGTATCAAGATGTAATAGAGTATGGACAATCAATCAATTTGTTTTCCTGTGTTTTGGTGTTGATGTTGTTTATGTGTGGAAGATGCAGTTCTTGTGTAGAGAATGTAAATTTACAGTAACCTTTTAAATCTAGTTACTAATAAGCACTACTGTAATTAGCACAGCAGTTTCTTCATTTATCTGATTGATTTCCATCATTAAAGAAAAATAGTGTGGCTAGTTTCTAGAATGCCTCAATTCATGTTTATAAATGAAAATATATTTAAAATAAGGTAGTTTCTTTTCCCTAATTCTACAGATAAGACAAGGTTTAATCAGCAAGATGTCTGGTCTTAAAAAGTGGAAATATACTGAAAACTGGCAATTTTTAAAAGAAAAACAAAATAATAAATTTAGGACAAATAAAATTGCATACTAGAGTAAACACAGAACTAATTGCAATTATTCACTTTTAGAAACCATTTGGAAATATTGCTGGAATTCCATTATAAGCTGTTGCAGAACCTGTGCTGAAAAAATATAGAAGTCCTTTTTTATGTTGAAAACCCTCATGTCCTGCTTTCTTACCATCTCTAATTGAAAGGCTGTTTGTAATGTTCTAGCAATTCAAGCTAAGCTGTTTTGTGAATAAAAATGAAAGCATGTTTTGTGTCATGGTTCACATCTTCATTATTCTGTCCATCTTGGGTGCATGCAAGGTTGTTTGGTTGGTTGCTTGGGTGGGGGTACCAAATCTAAAATGACCTGTTATATGTTGTTTTTTCCTATAATGTTTTCCAATGTTTGCCTTTCTTGGCCTCAAAAATATTTAAACTGAGGGGGTTTGATAATACTTCAGCATTTTGTTTCTTATTTTTAATATATTATACATGTTTAATAGTACAAATGACATAATTTTATGTTTCCCTCTGCAGTCTACATATGTAATTGATTATCTGATCATGTTCCACAAATATATGATGTACTGAATCTGGGTTTGGTATAGCCTTCTTATCACCTTGGAAGATAAGCAGTTAAACATTTAATAAATAAAATTTTGTTTAATTGGGCTACTCGGTTTTAGAATTAGAAATCCACATAGCATTTATGTTGGCAAATTTATAGGAACAGAAGATGTCTTGGGCCTTAAACCCCACGAGCTGCATGTGGCTTCAGAGAGAACTGGGCATTTGCTTGAAGTACGCTGCCAGCTACGGCATTCAAAATCAGTCGTAGGTAGGAAATATGTAGCATGGTCCAAGTTGCTCTAAAAGCTGTTGTCACTGAGTTCCCCCTGGCTGACTTGGATGTTTGGGCAAAACCTTTCTCTTTTGTCTTGCCTTGCAATTCCCTTAATAAAGCATTCCCTGTTTCAGTTTAAAAAGCACAGGTCACTAGTCACTCAAAGTTGCTAGTCACTCAAAGGACAGTCCGTAATGTTGCAGTTAAATGTTCCTTTTTTAATATTGTAGAAGCAATCATTGTACCAAGTATTAATACATTTTATATTTTGTGTGACAATGTTAATTGCAACAGATAATTGTATTTAAGTTTGTTTTGTCAATAAAAAATATTAGGTGGGTGCTGGTGGATGCTTAGAGATGAAACATACTGGGGTTTTTTTTAAAGTGCAAAGAGCAGATTACCAGTAAAGGAATGTACTATCTCAGGTTCACACGATTTGGGCAAACATTTTGCTGGAATTAAAAACTAAAGCTGCAGGACAGCTAATACTGAATTCAGGACAGCCAAGATTTTTCTGCATGTTTGGGCTACAGTATCCTTCCTAATTTTCTCTTCATAATATAAAAGCAGCAAGTAATTTATTGCTGGCAGGTGCGGGGGGGTGGGGTGGGAATCCCCATTATGCAAGTTTAACCAGCTTTTGCCTTAAAGTCCAGCTCTCCCAAATCACTTTGGAGAATAAACAAGAATATGTTGCCACTTTTCCTGAACCATGAATCACAAATGTACATAGATCTATAAAGATGTAGGCAGTGAAGAGTAAAATTTTGTGTGGTATCTGGTAGGCTTTTGTGGGCCTACAGTTCACTGTTCCTCCACATTTATAATTCTATTTGGATTGTAGGAGAACATGAATAAAAGCTACTGTGTCCCAGCTACTGGAATTAAAAACAGACAAACTAGAGTACTGTATGAAATAGTCCAGCACTGTCAAATTAGACTATGAATTCTAACCTGAATATTAATCCTGCTCTGAAATATTTGAACATTAAAAAAAATCTAACTGGTACAATCAGATTATAAATAAACTTATAATGAGGCACAGTGATATATTGTTTCTAGAATTAATGCCTCTCAACAAGCTCCTTGAACTGATAGGTAAGCTACTCTGACCAAATGAATGTTGAGTAAAAACTGTTGCAAAATCAGTTCTGCAAATCAGTTCTGGTACTATTACTGGTACTATTCTGGTCTGCCTTTTAAATGACTCTGGGCTTCTTGGTACCCCTTTTAGAAAGAATATTTAAATTTATATTGCTCCTAATCAGAGTGTATTAATTTCCTCTTATTTAGAAGTACACAGTTGCAGTAGCTCTGATACTGTCGTTTTTCTTCATGGTCTTCTACAATCCAGATTGCTCGTTTCATGGGATACCTGCCCTTCCTCTTTACTGTCCACCCAATGTGCCAGACTCCCTACTTCTGATAAATATATATAGAAGGTTGTGGCAACTGTCAGCAAAGACTCCCAATTGCGTCTTGAAAGGCTCATGGGATTCTTCGGAACATTGGTGAGACCTTTTCTGAGACAAGGAAATCTCTTGCCTCTCTAATGCAGGTCTTCCCCTTCTGTCCAACTATAGGTAGACCTCTGAGAGAAAAAGGTATGTAATTTTCAGTGTGTGTGTGTGTGTGGTGGAGCACCCAACTTTCATCTGTGGTACAGAAAACAGGATGGATTTTTGCCCACAGTGTCTAAGGTAAAATAGATTCTGCAACTTAAATTTACATGGGGACTATCCAATTTGCTCTGGTTTTAGGATTACCCTGCAGAACTGCAATGTTTATTCCTCACCAGTCCATTTTATGAATAGTTTAAAAAGAAAGCCAAACAGTCATGCATCCAATCCCAACTTTAGTAATGCTTCCTTAAATTTGAGCTTATTGCAAGTCCATTCCGAAGCACACTTCTTCCTTGTGATAACCAGTGCCAAGATGGCATTGGAGATAGATGTAGGTTAGCTAGGCAGTTAAATGTGCCTGTTAAATACAGCACAGAAAAAAAGATCCGTTTTCCAGACCCTAGTTGATGTAAAGTTTTACTCCAGTGAGGATCAGTGTTGGAGAAGTATCACTGGAACAGTTTTAAATACAGTCCCTGTCCTGAAATCGTATTAAATGCAATCATATATTTGCTTAAAATGCTCAGGTTAGCTCAGCAACTAAACATACATCTCTTCCCTGTGTGATAATATGCTGAGAACTTTGCATGATGCACATGTATTTGCTTGTGGGTCTCAGGCTGTTTAAGGAAGTACATCCAAAAGTGGAAGATTGAAACAAGAAAGTATCATTTGAGTGCTTCATATTTTGTGCATGGTCATGAATGGCATTTATAAACATCTCAAAATAAAATGAAGGATGACATATTTCTTTTCATGGTAGTACACAAGCCAACTGCTAACAGCACAAGTTATTTTCCTCATTCAATAGGAATTTTGTACATAAAGTCATGAAGTCAAAAAGCCATTCTTGGTGTGCCCAGCATCTGATATTCAGAGGTATGCAGCCTTGGTCATTTAATCTTATTTTCAGTTTTGAGTGTGATTTCATGTGAGGTTATGATGCTGTTATTTAAAACGTCTAAACTTTCCTAAATGTGAACAAATTAAACATAATGTGTCATTCCAGGTGAGTACTCAAACACTGGAAACATTTATTTGTGCCTCATGTGCCTCAGATTCAACATGCAATACTCAAAATTAATGGTAAATATGCTAGTAGAATAGGGGAATGAGAGTAATACTCCAGTGACAGTCGCCCTAAGCAGCAACTGGATGCATGCTTGGATCCCTATGCCTGGTGCCTGTTAGACTCTGCCTCATCAGATTTTATTTTTAAATATTTTAATTAACACCAAAAAAGGGGAAGGAAAGCAAAATTCCAGCCTCTGATGCAGACTTTATTTCCAAGAATGCTCAGGTCTTGAGCAGTGCACTTATATTTTGGAATTGCCTCTTTCATTTAAAAAAAAGAAAAAAAGCTGGAGTGGGAGAAGATGTCCTATGGAAGTAGCAGGATTAACCACACCAGTTTGTCTTCTGGTAAATGGGTGCCTTATGAGCATCCAGGCCTTTGATGGTAGCCATTTTGTGAGAGTTCTTGGGATAAGTAAATATTCTAAATGTGATTGTTGCTTCCACAAAGTATGGGGACCCTTCATTTATTGAGTGAGGAGGGGAGATGAAATCCCAACATATGTGAAGAGACCATGTTTGGGATAAAGCTGGTCTACAATCTACTTTCAGACTGATGTTAACTTCAGGAATTTGTGTTACTGAAATGTGTAGTGTGCTTTCCTTGAGTTCTCCTTACAAAAAGTCTACTATATTTTTTTTTTTTTTTTTTTGGTAATTCCTTCAGGATAACATTAGGATTCTGAATTACAGGGTGGACCAGATAGTAGGACATTTGTAACAAGATTTCTTAGATTTATTGGCTTAGTGTATTTTGTAGCTTTCCTTTTTGTCCAGCAGGGCCCTTATCTAAAATGCCTTCAATTAATATTACAATGTGTTGGGTCTAATAAAGGTGTATAGCTTGCTTAGTGACAGAGTGATTACTTGACATAAGACACAAGAAGCTTGCTTTCATCCTGTGCCCCTTTCCCTTTCAGCAGTAAGAATACCAGGTGATAAGCCTTCTGTATGAAAACTTAAGCATTGATGGTGTAGTAGGATCCAGATTTGCATAGAAAATGCATCAAGAATTTCTTTCCAGATGAAGTTCTTTCTAATCTATAAGTTTGGGGGAACACAACTTTTTTTCAATCAGAGCATAGAATGCCCAGGCATGCATGAATATATGCATGTAGATGAGTGGCAAATGCTTATATGATTAGCAATCAGGATGCAAGATTCAGTGTCATAAGAGAAAATTTCTGAATACCCCCCCCCCCCCCCCCCCCCCCA